CGGTGTTTAGGATACGCACTCTTTTGATTTAGTCCATAAAGTGTGTCGGTGTACACGGAACCGTTGGTAGAAGTTCATGAATTTCGTGTCGACTGGGGGGCCGTTGATGTTAGTCCATAAATACCCACCTCAAAAAAGACCCAGAGATTTTTAAAAGGTCATTGGATGTGCAACATCAATGGCAAGGTCTTGGAATACCCAATTTTATACTCATGACATTGCATAGGTGATGGGAGATAGTGAAGGCTTGGGTTGAGTTGCATGAGTGAGTCTCATCTAATTTCATGAGATGACATAGTGAATTCTAACATTGAGTTGCATATTCTTGATTGAAATGTTTTGTGGCTTGTTGAAATTGCATGTGACATTTCATATGCATCTAGATTGGGGGAGTTGCCTCTTTAGAAGATATCCTATTGAACATGACTTATCCTTTATAGGAAACATTATAAGTGCGGGATATATACCGGTGGACGGCTCGCACTTGAGGCCTCAAAGATGAAGAAAAACCTACTTATGAATTTTAAACCATCTTTTGTAAAACATTTGCTAAATTTGATTTTGGGCATGTTAATCTATGGAAAAGAATTGTAATCAAACTCATATGAACTATTTTTAATGTAAAATTGCATGTTGTTATACGAGTATGGATAAATGGACTCGATGTGGTCAATGTTATATGATTGCACAGATTGAGTTTTGGATAAAACTTTCCGTACAAAGGAGACTTTGCCCAAATTTTGTTAAATTATAGATCCCGATAAATGTGGTATAACGGCGTGATATAAGTATAAGATAGAATTTTACTAAATTTAGTGTTATTCAATCAAGGAAAAGAACAAAAATTATAAATAAAAAACTTAAGCTAAATATCAAATGCTCAAATTATGTTTTATGTTGCCATTAACAACATAAACAAACTAGTCATAAACATAAAATCCAAGGCCCAAAAAAATTAATTCTACTATATTAAATAATAATTTTTATCCTCCGCTTTCCTTAATTGCATAATTTAAGATTAATTTCTACCCATTATTAGAAAAAAAATTATAACTTTTTTCAAAATGCATGACCTTAAANTACTATATTAAATAATAATTTTTATCCTCTGCTTTCCTTAATTGCATAATTTAAGATTAATTTCTACCCATTATTAGAAAAAAAATTATAACTTTTTTCAAAATACATGACCTTAAAAAAATATCAATATGTGTACATCATTGTATATGAACAATGTCTAAAATAAAAATTATATTGAGCTATAAATTTATCAAAAATTAAATGATTCAAATGGTGATGAAAATGAGTGATGTGATAAAAATGAACGAAAAAAATACGTGAGAATAAAATTCAAAGTGCTAGCTAACTATCTTATTAGATAGATTCTCAAAAAATTTAAATCAAATCTATAGAACTCTAACTTATCAAAATTATCAAGCTACCTAAAGTAGTTAGTAATAACATAATAAAAAAATATTATATAACTAAATAACATTATTTATAAAATAAATTAGTATCGTATTAGTGTAGCTGTCTTAAAAATAATATAGAATTTAATGGAACTTGGATTTAGGATCTTCGCCTACCAATTTTTAGAGGTTCTAAAATCCAATTTGGATTTGATTGAACATGAGCATATGAATTTTAGTTGACACTTTAAAAAAATTTGTGCTTCATTGAATTGAATCTTAAATTTTTTGGAAGGCCCTAAAAATAAAAGTGGACTTACTTGAACATAAATTTTAAAATTTTATTCGGGACCTATGAATAAAACTAGACTTAATGGACTGTGTGTAAAAATTTTATTTGGGGTACTAAAAATAAAATTAGACTTTGTTGAATATTGATCTGAAAATTTATTTAAAACCTAAAATTAATAGTAGTTTTAATTAAACCACCTTAAAATGGGGCCCTAAAAATTTGGGAGCCTAACTATGCCATTGAGTCGGCCTTGAAGTTGTGCTAAATCTATCTCATATAAGTTATTACCATATTTACGATAAAACAAATACTATATATATATATATTAAAACAAGCTATTTGACATAGATTCTTATCATACCATGCAAGTTAGAGCTGATTTCTCGAAAAAAACTGTGGCATAGCATTATCCTCTAGGGAAAGTACATTTGACTTTGATGTTGAGCTAATAGGTTCAGTTGGCCTCCAGAGATCTTCATGAACACTGCTGCACACGGATGCAGGGCTTGGTGGCACCTCAGTGGAGTTCTCCTAAAACAAGAAGGTATCGTATTATTAGAAGACAACCAAACATATAAGATCATGTCAGTTCACCAATTTATTTCTTGTTTCTCAATACAAAAAAATTAATGGCCACATATGATTCTTACATGTCGGTCATGGAATTGGGGAAGGAATTAGAGCATTCCAGGTTTTATAATGAAAATTTGTGCTTGCAATGGTAAAAATATATATGAGGGTGTAAAATAATGAATGGGTTGAAGATACTCTCTCATCGTCCTCATAGGAGGAACGGGTGGAAGATTATTTCCAACATTCCCATTATTAGGTCCAGGGGAAACTAAGGGAAAGTTATGCCCCTGGTTTGCCATGTTTTGTGGATTCTTATTGTTCACTCTTTCGATGTCAATAGTGTGTGTGGGGTCGAGTCTTATAAGTCTATTGTGAACTGTGTCTCATGCCCACATGCAAAAGAAAAACTAATTATCAACAAAAAAAAAAAGAACAGTAAAGTAAAGCAAAATGCAGAGGAGAACGCTCCTGAGCTTGTGATGTAAATCACAAGACTTACCTAACGCTCATCCGTATCACCTTTTGAATCACCTCGCTTTCCCTGAAAATGGTGCCAAAATGCTTGCTCCACAGAGTAGTATTAAATTAACAAGGAATTCCCAAGAGTAAGAAGGGGTATCGTGTTTGTAACTCGGTCAATTAGTGATGGATTGTTATTATCCATATTCCATACAATGATGGAGTGTTATGGGAAGAGGATTGTATTCCAATTACCTGGAGAAGTAGTTTTTAGCTTTTCAAATGAGCCAAATTCTGCTCACCATTTTCCTACTACGGGTACCTTTATCTGGAAATCTAAAGTAGGGAGTAGTTTGAGCTTCTTAGGTAGCTTGATCAGAGAAGAATGAGTTGAGCCCCATTCTAAGAACTGAATACTTTAAAGTCAATATTTTTTATCATCCACATTCCATACAGTGATGGATTGTTATGGGAAGATGATTGTATTTCAGTTACCTAGAGTTGTAGTTTTTAGCTTTTTCAAATGAGCCAAATTCTTCTCACCATTTTCCTACTACGGGTACCTTCTTCTAGAAATCTAAAGTAAGGAATAGTTTGAGCTTTTTAGGTAGCTTGATCAGGGAAGAATGAGTTGAGCCCCAGTCTAAGCATATGCTAGTGGTGTTAGACTTTTGGGATGTGTTTCCAGAGGAATTATCGGGATTATATCCCTCGAGAGAGATCAAGTTTACTATTGACCTATATTTAGGCATTGAACCCATATCCATAGCTCTTTACTGCTTGGAACCTTTGGAAGTAAAGGAGTTAAGGAAGTAATTGGACCACTTGTTGTCAATTGGGTGCATCCGTTTGCGTACTTCACCAATGGGAGCCCTAGTCCTATTGTGAAGAAGTAAAATGATGCCCTCAGACTATACACGGATTATCGGAGGTTGAATAAAGTCACGGTAAAGAATAGGTATCCCTTGCTACGTATTGAAGATTTATCCAATCAGTTGAGGGGTTCAAAATATTATTCCAAGATTGATCTTCGCACGAGATATCAGCAATTGAGGATAAAGGAGGAGGATATTTCCTAAGGCCACTTTTCACACTAGATATGGTCACTTCGAGTATACAGTGATGCATTTTGGGTTAACTAACGCTCCTGCAGCTTTCATGGACTTAATGAATTAGATGTTCCGACCTTATTTGGATCAATTTGTTATTATTTTTATTGATGATATATTAATCTATTCGAGGACACGAGATGAGCATGCACGACAAATTCGGTTGGTGCTACAAACATTACGAGAACATAAGTTGTATGCAAAGATGAGCAAGTGTGAGTTTTGAATGAAAGAGGTGAAGTTCCTTGGACACGTGTTGTCGAAACAAGCAGTAGCTTTAGACCTACTAAGATTGAAGCGAAGATGAAATGGAAAAGACCTCAGAATGTGATTGAGATTCGAAATTTTCTGGGTTTAGCAGGATACTACAGGAAGTTTGTGGAAGGATTTTCTCAGTAAGCGATGCTAATGACCCACCTCACTAAGAAGGGAGAGAAGTTTGTATGGTCTAAAGATTGCAAGCAAGCTTTCGCTACTCTAAAGAAGAAGTTGACCATGACATTGCTTTGAGCTAGTGCTGAGAGTTGTGATGGGTACATTGATTCTTCTTTACGAGGATTGAGTAACGTGTTGATGCAGGATTGGAAAGTAGTGGCTTATGGTTTGAGACAATTGAAAATTCAGGAGCATAATTATCCTATCCATGACCTAGAGCTTGCGATTGTGGTGTTTGCTCTTAAATTATGGAGGTGCTATCTATATGGAGAAAAGTTTTCAGGTTTACTTTGACTATAAAAGCCTAAAATATATCTTCATTTAAAAAGATCTCAATCTTCGATAAAGACGTTAGATTGAATATTAGGAGGACTATGACTTTAGCTTGAATTATCATCCGGGAAAAACAAATATAATAGTGAATGCACTCAATATGAAGTCTCAAAATATAGCGAATTCCCTAGAAATATATAGGTAGAAGATGATAGAAGCCTTGGAGGAATTTGACTNTGAATACGAATATGTTAACAATTTTTTTGTTATTTCGTGTCTTCAGACACGGAGAATAATTAGTTATTAAATATAATATTAAAATTTACAACTAATTTAATAATAACTTTATATCGGGAATCACAGATTTTTTCCATTCAATTGTTTTCTTAAAATAAAGATATACTATATTTTTAATTTAATTGTATGAATTAAATTGATTACCAAATCAATCCAATTACAAAACGGTTCGAACAGAGCTACGAAGGAGGAGGGTGCTTGATCGAACTACGAGACGGAATCAGATTCATCAGGCAGAAAAAAGTAAAAGGAAAAAAGAATTTATTTGATAATCTATTGTTGTTCGGTGATGAGTAATTTCTACAAATCAATGTTGTTCATGTTCTGGGCAATTCTTTTGTGTTCTAATGAAGTCCTCGCAAAAAAATCTCGCATCCCAATCTCTGTAAGCTTTCAAATTTCCATGAATTTTAATCGAGTTTTTCTTTTCAATCTCTCTCTAAAGTTTAGGGTTTTGTTTCCTTTTGGGAAATATTAAAGGACAGTGAAGTTCGAGAAATGAAAAACCAATGCTATGCAGACATTGAAAGGTATGATCTTTTTTCATAATTTTGTTTGTTTCCTGAGAAAATTCTGGAATTTTTTTTTTGGGATTTTTAATAATTTCTCTGATCTTCGATATCTTTCGTTATAATTACAACCATTGAGTTGGAAAGAAAATATTTGAATTCTAATCTGAATTTCCTTGGTGATAAATATCCTGAGTCATAGGTTTGTGTTTATATGTGGGGATTTGTTTGTATTGATAAATTGATTTATATATATGATTACTTGTATCTTATTGCTGTTTTGTGGGTGCAATTGTATTGGAAAGTGGATTGTGGGGTAGGCAATGCAAGTCTTCAACTGTAGCAAAGGAGAATTGCGCTTTAAAGTGCCTATCACCGGCTTGTTATGAGCTTATTTACGAGAGTGATCCGGTGAGGGACTGATGAACTAATTTTCTCTCCTGTTTATAGCATGTATTTTAATGATCCTAAATTTGTGGACCGGTTGTGTTTTGTTAGTAGTTGGAAGAAGGAGAGAAAGNATTTACGAGAGTGATCCGGTGAGGGACTGATGAACTAATTTTCTCTCCTGTTTATAACATGTATTTTAATGATCCTAAATTTGTGGACCGGTTGTGTTTTGTTAGTAGTTGGAAGAAGGAGAGAAAGATTATACAAGGAGTCAAGAGTACAAGTACTCTATGCACAGGTAAAGTTATGATATTTGAAGATACGTGGACGGGATAATTCCTGCAATAGTATGAGACAGCGATCTTCAAACTGGCGAATCTGAAACAACAGGGTCAGAAAAAAGGGGGCCAGGCAAGCGCCCGGCTAATTCCCTCCAAAGTTTAAGTTAGTATAAAGTCGAAGTGCTTTGTTCAATGAACTATTTTTCTAATTCAAGTTTACATACTTTTGTCCATTTTTCTGAGGAGTATTTATACCTGAATTAGTAATGATTGCCAAAGATCTCCAGTTCCATCTGGACATCATACATCTGACACACCATTCCTCGTGCAATGAGTGTTTTCTACTCACGTCTTCTCCTATTGAATGCTAGGAAAATGGGATAAATGTTCGGCTAAATGTCGAGCATTTATGCCNTACATCTGACACACCATTCCTCGTGCAATGAGTGTTTTCTACTCACGTCTTCTCCTATTGAATGCTAGGAAAATGGGATAAATGTTCGGCTAAATGTCGAGCATTTATGCCACTCCCCGAGTATCCAAATCTCCTAGATCGACATCCGACATCAACTGAGCATTGAATACTCGGGGGAACAATTTCTCGGGAGAGCCGATCGCGTCGTCTCGGCGCATCAGCCATTAATGCTTAGCCATCATTACAGTAGACTTAGATTTCCAGAGGGCAGGTGCTGACAGGCGCGTATTTATTTGCCTTGTCACTATCACTCATTCTGCCATGAATGAGGGGTCACATCGCATTAAATACGATGTCAGCTGACTCGACTGCTCCGTGTTACCATACCTCAACTTACCTCCTCGGCATCTTTTGGATATCCCAACGGTTTCATTATTCCACGTGTCAACCCGGGGGCTGTAGAGCCACCTAGACTCCTGCCAACTGCCCTCTAGCAGCTATCCTTTTCGCAGTGTAAGACAAGTGGCGTAAAGAGATTGGGGGCTTCATCATCACGCCTTATTACTAGCGACGGTTACTTGCACGTCTGGTGCCGCCCTTTTCAAATGCCCTAATAATGACCCAACTTTTCGATTCCCGCTCCCTATAAGACAGTATAAATAGGAGGTTTTCATACCTTCTCACAACTTTTGCATCCTCAACCTCTCTTCAGCAATCAGACCCCGAGTGCTTCTCTGTTCTCCTCCGAGTTTCCTTCATCCTCCGAGCTCTCTCTTTGAAGACCACCTTCTTGTAAGTACTTCCACTTGAGCTTTTTCTCCCTTCATTTTCTCTACATTTTGTCCTTTTAGCGCCCACTAATGGCTAGAACTAGTAGAACCAGGGGGGAGACGTCTGATAGGGCTAGGACTACCCACAAGATGAGGAGAACCCAAGTGA